TATCTATCTATCTATCTATCTATCTATCTATCTATCTATCTATCTATCTAGTCAGTTTACAGCCTGATCCTTGCCCCTCCCTCCTCTTCTCCCAGTCCCACTCTCATTCCTCTCTTCCCCTCTTCCCAGCCCCTTCTTCTTCTCAGAGAAGGGGAGGGCTCCAAAGAGTAACAGCCCATACTGGCACCTCAAGTCATAGCAGGAATAAATACATCCTATCCCAGTGAGGCTTGACCAGGCAGCCCAGCTACAGGGAAGGGGAATTTAGTGGCAGGCAACAGTCAGAGATAGCCTGTACTTCCATTGTTAGGGGACCCACATAATGACTAAAGTGCACATTTGTTACATGTATGTAGGGAGTCTAGGTCCAGCTCATGCATGCTTTTTGGTTATTGATTTGTGTTCTATCTGTATTTCACATGGTATATATACTTATTTCCTGGTATATTGTAACAAATAGTCTACTTAAATTTACTTTTTTTTCAAGGATCTGCTTCCAATGAAATACAAACATGCATGCATATTTAGAATACGTGTTCTTATTGTTTCATGCTAATGAAAATTTGTTTAGAAGTAATACATCAAAGAATATATAAATTCTGTCTACTTTATGTACACAAAACAAATACTTATATTTGTGTATGTAGTTACAACAGAGACACAGTTATACTATGACATACTGATATATATATATATATATATAATTTTATCTAAATATCACAATGAAGTATCATATATTTCATGTTCTATAACTGAGAATTATCAAGGTTTCTCGAGTGTAGTATGTATTTGTGTGGGTATGTACATGTGTGTGCATGTACACATCTTGCTCTAGGAACAAAGCCATGCTATCCCATTAAACATGATGGACCAAGAACAGTAAACTATATGCTGTACAATGTATCTATACTGTATAGCAAGGTACCCAGAGAAATAAATGCATGTGTGTACATATGTGTGGAAGCCAGAGATTGTCATCAGGTGTCATCTCTGATTGCTCCTGCTCTACCTGCTTTATTTATTTATTTATCTATTTATTTATTTATTTATTTATCTATTTATGTATTTATTTAGAGATAGGGCTGCACACTGCATCTAGAACTCACCCATTAGACTAAGTTGGATGTCCAAGGAACTCTAGTGATCTGCTCATCATTCATCTTTCAAAATGGGGCTACATTTGTGCCACAGTGCCTAAATTCTGAGCAAGCTGGGGATTGGAATTCAGGTCCTTAGAAACTGAGCCATCTGTCAGCTCCAGTACTCAGTTTTATAAACCAAAATTTTTCACAGTTACTATGGGAAACAAATTAGATTTTCTACCCTTTTTGAATAGCACTACTTTTTTTATTTTTTTTTATATTTTTTAATATTAGTTACACTTTATTAACTTTGTTTCCCAGCTGTATCCCCCTCCCTCATTCCCTCCCAATCCTACCCTCTCTCACTCATCTCCTCCTTGCCCCTCCCAGGTCCACTGATAGGGGAGGTCCTCCTCCCCTTTCATCTGACCCTGGTTTATCAGGTATCTTAATGACTGGCTCCTTTTTAAAAATAAATGGATCGTCTCTTTAAGTGTTTCTCTGCCATTCTATATTCCTTTACAGAGAATTCTGTTTTGCTCTGTACCCCATTTTTTAATTGGATTACTTGATTTGTTGCATTTTAACTTCTTTAGTTCTTTATATATTCTGGATATCAGCCCTCTGTCAGATATAGGGTTGGTGAAGATCCTTTCTCAGTCTGTAGGCTGTCTTTTTATTCTACCCAATGGAGGAGCAGCCCTGCTAGGCCACAGAGGAGGACTTTGCAGCCAGACCTGAAGGTACCTGATAAGCTAGGGTGAGATGAAGGGGGAGGAGGTCCTCCCCTATCAGTGGACTTGGAAAAGGGTAGGGAGAAGATGAGGGAGGGACGGTGGGATTGGGAGGGAATGAGGGAAGGGACTACAGATGGGATACAAAGTTAATAAACTGTAACTAATATTAAAAAAATAAATAGAACAAGTTAATTTCCTTCTATTAAAGCTATTGCTATTTGTCTTGTAACTGGTTTTAATTATCATAAAGATGACTTAATTGAATTAGACATGACAAAGCATGAAAACATGATTTCTGAGGTTTTTCTAGGCAAGATTTACTGAAAATAATTTGGGAGCAACATGAACAGGCCACAGAGGAAGAATATAAAAGACAGTCCTGGTGAGATCTGATATGCTAGGGTCAGATGGAAGGGGAGGAAGTCCTCCACAATCAGTGGACTGGGGAAGGGGCATGGGAGGAGATGAGGGAGGGAGAGCAGGATTGGGAGGGAAAGAAGGTGGGGCTACAGCTGGGATACAAAATAAATAAACTGTAGTAATTAAAAATTATATTCAAAAGAAAGTGGATGGCTAAAAAATCATTTATTTTTCTGAGTGAAGTAGAATGAGCATCATATTGTTATAACTACTGATTTAATGCTTAACATAAATATTTTAAAATGGCAATATTGTAAATAATAAATTTAATTTAGATAATGACTTGATTTTTGAACTGTCTTATCCTGTAACACAAGTGTAAGTATAGAAGTTGTTAAAATTAATTGGGATTTAGAGTCAGAGTATATCAACTGTGATTTTGAAGAGCAATAATTTGATATATGATGGCTCTTATGAATCTCTAGGGTATCCATGCTAGTTTGTACAGTGTATTGTTATACATATGCACACAAAATATGTATAATCTCTCTATATATGCATATATATATATATATATATATATATATATATATACACTCACATATATATAGTACCATTTCTAGGATCCACACAATGGTAGAAAAGTACTGCCTTATGCATGTTTTCCTCTAAACTCGATACACACACACACACACACACACACACACACACACACACACACACAAACACAGAATGGCATGTGCATATCTCCTCTCACAAATGAATAAATGTAAAAATTCATTAGAAATACAAAAGCAGTATAAGGCCACTCATATGAATTTTCATGTTTAGGTAACTTACTATACATTTTTAGGAAGTCTTCACCGGAGAAAAATAAAATCTTAACAGAACTCTATATGCTGTGTTTACAGTTTTCATTAATTCTAAATATATTTCTCAAAACTGAAAAAGGGATATACTAAATGAATTTTTGAAGCTGCACTTACCATGTGTTTATATATCTACAAACAGGGCAATGAATAACACGAAATTACATACTCAATTTCTGTACATATTTTGAATTATGCATAGCAAAATTAAATCAACAACTAATCATTTATTTTCCTTTCTTTACTTTTCTCTTTTCCTTCTTTCTTTTCCTTTTCTTTCTTTTCTTTTCTTTCCTTTTCCTTGTGAATTGTTTCTAACACTGCAATTCAGGCTGAATTCTAAATCAGAAAACTCTAGCCTTTACTTTCTGAGTGCTGAGATTACATCACAGAACTTTTGGCAAAAATAATAATTTTAAATCACATTTCAATGACAGTTTGTCTCTCATATAAGTTTTTATTAATGTGTCAATAAAGAATATGCAGCAAAGAGGCTTCATTTCTGATGTTCTAGGTCTTATGAAATCTTCAAAAAATGAATAGAACTCTAAATTTGTGCTTTCAATATTCTTTAACATAATGACATTTTCTTCTACTAATGGCAATGCTTAATTGTTGTTTGATCTAAAAGTCTAGGGATTTCTTTGAAAGCAGGAGCTTTAGGGTTATAGAATGACAGCCTGAGTTTTGTGTTTATACTACTGGAAGTAAACTGTGGTAATAGCTATCTTTTCTCCTAATTTCAACATTATCTTTAGTTCAAAATTTCTCACTACAAAGTATTCTGAAATTTATCCCTTACTGGATAAATTTTCAAAATTACACTTACCTTAACAATCACTTTAACTATCTTCTATAGAAATGGGCAAACTTACATTACATTTTGTAATTCAAAAATTTTTATAATATTTTTATTTTTTGTGTTAAACACAGGTTATTTACTTTGTATCATAGCCCCCTCCTTCATTCCCTCCCATTCCCACCATCCCTCCCTCATCTCCTGCCTGCCCCTTTCCAAGTTCACTGATAGGGGAGGACCTCCCCCCCTTCCATCTGACCCTAGCTTATCAGCGCTCTTCAGGACTGGCTGCAGTGTCCTCTTCTGTGGCCTAGCAAGGCTGCTCCTCCCTTGGGGGAGGAGGGTGTGAAGAGCCAGCCATTGAGTTTGTGTCGGAAATAGTTCCTGTTCCCCTTACTAAGGAACCCACTTGGATAATGAGCTACCATGAGCTATATCCTTTATTCAGAAAACCACTGAGTGAAGCAAAAAGATTTTAGGAAAAAAAGAAATGAAATTTCCCTTCAATGTGAAAACAAGAATACTAAATTACAAAGACAAAATGGTACCAGTTGAGTGAGAAATCATGTACAAAGTTAGGACAGCTATCAACACATTCTATTGAAAGAAATTGACATTTATATCATTGGCTATGAAATAAGAATTAACATTAAGGAGGTTTCTATATTCAGTTTAAAGTTGTCTACAAGTTACAAGATTAAATGAGAATCTTTCCAGGAATGAAAGGATGGGTGAATAAAGCTGCAGAGACTGAAGTCTTAATAATGATAACTTTTAATTTTTGTTTAATTTGAAAATTTTTACCTTCTATTTAACTTCAACATTTTGAAATATGGTTTAATCAACATTTGAAAAAGATTTACTTCAAATATTATAATCATTAGATATAATAAAGTCATTGAGTAAGAACTTTTTAAAACATTTTCTTGGTATGTAATGTAAATAACTCCTAATTTGTTAGCTTTAACTAATTATTTTTTTACTATTCCTTACATAAATTATTTGGCTTTGAAAATTAAAAGCTGTGTGTTCTAAAACTTACCTGTATTACAAGTGTTGCTTGATATTTCTTACTGTACATTCGAGGTTTAAATCCTACAGAGATGAGAATTCCTTTTGTGTAAAATGGAGGGAGTTCTCCAGAATTAGGTTTTACAAAAAAGTTTTTATCACTGCCTGGCAGAAAATAGGCCATAAATGGCTCGTAATACCTAGGAAAAATGATGAATATAATTCATAAAATTGGTCATTACCTCATTGACTGGTGAGAAACTTATAAATAAAGCATAAATTCTGTTTCAACAAACCTATAGTTCAAAATTAATACTGAATGCTTATAAAAATGTGTGTGGTATTTTATTTTGAAAATTACCAAATAGAATCTGTCCTAGTATTCTTTCTGTTGCTTTGATAAAGTACCGTGACCAAAATTACTTACAAAGCAAAGTTAATTTGGCATACACATTGCAATCATTGCCCATCATTGAAGCAAGTCAGGGCAGAATCTTAATTAAGAATAGAGATAGGTTTTAGAGGAACACTACTTACTGACTTGTTTCCCCTGCCCATACTTAGCTTGTGTATAGAATCCAGGACCACCTACAGAGTGATGGGGACACCCATAGTCGGCTTGGCCCTCTTACATCAATCATCAGTCAAGGCAATCCATAAGAGATATAGTCATGGGTCAATCTACTGGAGGGAATTTCTCAGCTGTTGTTCCTTCTTTTTAGGTAACTCTATACTTTGTGTCAAGGTGATTAAAAAAAATAACTAAAGACTATCATTTTCTTCTAAGGGTGGCAAAAAAAATCCTGAAGTTTCTTTTAAATTATATCCTATGTTCATAGTGTACTAAGATAAATGTTGTCTGTATAAAAAAATGATAGAATTCAGCATCCCAGATGAAAACTTAGTAATTTGTAAATAAATTCACATGCAAAAAGTGACCACTAAAGCTATTATAAAGCCTTTTGTCTCTAGTGTTGTTTCATTATACTATATAAGTACTATAAGTATTATATATATAAGTACTACGAACTAAGTACTATGAAATTACAAGAGTCTCACTAAATGATTCATAGGAATGAAGATAGATTATTAAAGTATGAAGTGGAGTGACATTTATGTTTCAAGTTACCATTTTATAGCATGATCAACTATAACTGAGAAAAGAAATAGTAAGTCAAGGAATTTCTTAGTTGACTAAAACTGGAGAAATGTACACTGTAAAAAAAGGTTTAAGTTCAGATTTAAAAATAAACTAATAGAGGTACATGTAAAAGATCAAATGTGGCTTCTAAATATGGTACAATATTGGAGGATCCAAGATGGCTCCTCCATCTTGAGGGCACTGGATCTGAGAAGTAGGACAGCAGTGACTGCACAGAGACCAAAAGATCAAACTCTGAGTCCTAAAACACCAGTGATTGTGTTTCCCAGGTGAGAGGAAACACCACAGTGTGGGAAGCAATCAGGTCCATTCTCAGGTCACCCAGCTAAATCCCTAAAGAGTTCCTGGGTCCCAGCAGGTGCTCAGTTGTCAGCCCAGAGACACAAGGCTGCGTTCTCTGATCACCATCCCAGACTGAACTGTCGGCCCCACAACACCAGAGACTGGGATTTCCAGTCAAGAGAAAACCCTACGGTGAAGGAAGCAAACTGGACCAACCTCAGGTCACCCAGATTATCCCTGGAAAAAGTCTCAGGTTCCAGCAGGCACTCAGCTGCCAGCCCAAAGACACACCTGCTTGCCCAAATCACCATCCTAGACAGAACTGTGTGTCCCCAAACACTAGAGACAGTGTTTTCCTGTCTGGAGGAAACCTATAACCATGAAATATTCATGCTATCAAAGCAATGAAGTGTTTCACTTTATCTTGAGGATGAAGAGAACATCTAGTTTACCTGAAAGTGCTCATTTATTTAGTACCATATTAATATTGATGAATAGTAAATGTAATGTTATGCCTTGCTAAATCTTTTCTGAGATTACATATCATCTGCCTCATGGCTTGCTTTAATAGATACTTCCAAAGTTGACTTTGTGTATATCAGCAAGTTCAGAAATAACAAAACAATGACAATTTGGTATCTGTTACCTGAAGGAAAGATCAGGTCAGACCTCAGGGCACCCAGCAGACATTCCCCCCCACACACACACACCAGGAAAAGTTCTCAAGAAAAGTTCCCAGGTTCACGCAGGCACACAGTCTCCAGCACTGAGCGACTCGCCTGCTCCTGCATGATCTACTCACCATCCCAGACTGAACTGTGGACCCCAAAACACCACAGATTGGGTCTCCCTCTTGGGAGAAAACCCCACTGTGGGGAAAACATTGGGTACAACCTCAGGAACCCAGATAATCCCCCTGCTGCATGCATGAGTGCTGCACTCACCTGCCAGTGATTACTGATTACTGCATGATTACTGGAACACAGAGTTCCAACCTCAGAACTATAGAAGGCTGAGATCCACGGGATCAGCCTCCAGACACTGCTGCAAGGCACAAATCATCTCTCTAGCTAAACTGACCAAACCGCTGGGCTCCCTGGTTCTTCAAGAGTGCTGTACCCAGTAAACACAGTGCAAGAATAGCAGCAGCAGCTCACTAAATTCAGAGCAAGAAACCCAGCTTCAGGGCATCTGTCTCCAGCACTTGTCTGGGTGAGAGGAGAACTTCCCTGACTACCAATGACCCCAGTTACCCTACATGCCCACGCACTTGAGGTGAGCCGTGACAATTCCCTCAGAAGCACTGGCCATCTGGTGACCATGCCCAAAAAGCTGAGGAGGTGGCCTTCTTTAGGAACAACTAGCTTCCTGCCAAAGGGATTCTCCCAACACCAGGACTTCAGCAGGCACCAGAAAAATAACAGAAAACACCCGAGAAAGCCATTTGGGTAGAGGCCAGTATAAAAGCACAACCAAAAAAAGCCTCGGTATCTCCAGAACCTAGTTATCTAGGAACAAGTTGTCTTGGACACTCTAGCATAAGTGAAATTCAAGAAGATGACCTTACATCTATGCTTCTGAAGAGGATAATGGAGAAAACAAATAAAATACATAAAGAAATAAAACATAAAGTGAAACAGATTGTGGCTATCCGTAGAAATACAGGAAGATGCAGCCAAACAGTTTGTGGCCTTCAGAGAGGAAATAATTAAATCACTGAAAGAAATAAAAGAAACAGAGGAATGTTCAAAGAAACAGGTGAAGAAACTGAAGGAAAAACAGGAAAATACAGTCAGATAGGTGAAGGAAATCAACAAAATGGTCCAAGATCTGAAGATAGAATTAGAAAAATTAAAGAAAACACAAATGGAGGAAATCATGGAGAGGGAGAACTTAGGGAAGAAAACAGGAATTACAGAGGTAAGCGTAACCAACAGACTACAAGAGATGGAAGAAAGAATCTCAGGTGTGGAAGATACAATGGATGAAATCGATGTATGGGTCAAATAAAATGTTAAATATAAAAAAAAAAAATTCCTGACACAAACCATCCAAGAAATCCAAGAAAATGTGAAAAGACAAAAACCTAAGAATAATAGGAATAGTCGAAAAAGAAGATTCCTGTCTTCAAGGCCTAGAAAATATTTTCAACAAAATCAATTTAAAGGAAAGGCATATAAGCATACAAGAGGGTTACAGAACACCTAATAAATTATGCCAGAAAAGAAAATCCTCCCACCACATAATCAAAAAGTAAGTATACAGAACAAAGAAAAAATACAAAAAGCTTCAAGGGAAAAAGGCCAAGTACCATATAATGGCAAACCCATTAGAATTACATGTGACTTCTTAACAGAGACTATGAAAGCCAGAAGGGCCTGGACAGATATTGTGCAGGTGGAATCTCAAGCTTTTAAGTTTCATGAGATCCCATTTATTGATTGTTGATCTTAGAGACTGTGCTGTTGGTATTTTGTTCAGGAAGTTGTCTCCTGTACCAATGAGTTCAAGGCTCTTCCCCACTTTTTCTTCTAACAGGTTTAGTGTGTCTGGTTTTATATTGAGGTCTTTGATCCACTTGGATTTTAGTTTCATGATACTGAAAAACTTCTGTACAGCAAAGGACACAGTCATCAAAACAAAACAACAGTCTACAGACTCGGGAAAGGTTCTTCACCAACCCTACATCTGACAGATGGCTAATATCCAAAATAAATAGAGAATTGAAGAAGGTATAAAACAACAAACAGTGTAATCCAAATAAAAATGGAGTACAGAGCTGAATAGAAAATTCTCAACAGAGGAATATCAAATGGCAAAGAAACACTTAAAGAAATGCTCAATGTCCTTAGTCATCTGGGAAATGCAAATCAAAAGGATCCTGAGATTTCACCTTACACCCATATGGAGAATATGCAGCCACTGACTAACTGTCTTACTATATATCTCAGGCTGGCTGCGTATTCTCCATATTTATTTTGAGTGACCTCAAACAGAATAAAGTCTCCAGTTTAGAAAATGCTCTTTGGTTTGGGTTTCTTAGTGATTCTTTGTAGTTCATTCAATATAATACAGTTCAAGAGCTTATTTCTTTTTCACAGTTTGAATTAATTTGTCAAATATTATTTGATGTACTAGAACTTCATGTCAACACATTCATCTCTGGGAAAATGCTTACTGAAATCTACTGAAGTAAATCATTTTATATTTTTCTTTTTCATGATAGCTCTCCTAAACTTAATGTAAAATTGTATAATAGTACTGGATGTGAACACATTCTGATTCTGAACAAAATGTTTAAATCAATGTCAGTAGTATTAATTAAAAATCTACTCAGAACTATTTGATTATAATTTAGTAGGTATTTTTCCCCTTTGGCTTCTTTCCAAAATCATATTGATACCTATTTTCTTTTCCCAATATTAAAAGAATCACAAAAATTGTGGCAGAGATGGAATCATATGTCTCTATTACATATTACTAGTCATAAAATTAGAGGAAAAGAAATGCAAAGATATAAATAATTAAGATACCAACAGAAATAAACTGAATGGCAACTTGAGGAAACTGCCATTGTATCTGAATCATTCTTCTCAAAACCCTACTGAAAGTAAAAATGTTAACTCTTAAAGGGGAAACAAGAAGGTGAGCCTTGAACTGTTTTTTTTTTCTCTGAGAAGACAACTATACAAGAAATCTTGTATACATATCATAAAATAGCAAAATCATATAGTTATTTTTGACTAAAATTAGGATTTTTGTCAAAACAATGTGAGAAGAATTTGACTGGAAGAATTAAACTGGATATTCAGCAGAGGACAATTTGCTCTTGTTCTCTCTTTGTGAAAGTAAAGACAATTCTTGGTTTCTGTCTCTGTTTAATTAAGGGAAGAGTTTCTTATTAAACTGAGATAAAGTAGGGTAATGAAAATAAAATAATCATGATTAGATACTCATCCTGTTTTCTTTTGTGTCACACAACATTTTGGTTTCTTTTGATTGTCTCTTTTAACCAATGATTGCATTATTTTTAATTGCATCTATCAACAGCAATCACAAGTGAGCTCATGAAGGAACTGTGTTATTTTCTATTCTAATGATTTAGCTCATATTTATTTTTTTAGGTTGAGTGCAAAGGCTATCACAGAGTGGTTAATTTAGAATATAATATAGGACTGGCAGAATGTTTCAGTGCCTAAGGGTGATTGACACCAAGCCTGACAGTCTCAGTTTCATCATTGGAACCCACATGATGAGAAGAGAGAAACAAGCTAGTTGTTTTCTTATCTCCCCATACTCTCTGTGATACACAAACATGCATTCACACAAATATACCTACAAAATAAATACATGTATTCCTACAAGTTGAAGAATAAGTTTTCATTCTCCTGTTTCAAAAGACCCTATTTTTTATCACTACAGTACTCACACATGGAACTTGTGATATAGACAATTTAAAACATCTCTACTACAAAAGGTTATAAAGTCCATGTGCTACATAGGTCATTTAGTTATAGAGGAATGTTAAAAGATATTGATTTCTAAACCATGAAACACCTTTCTCAGTAAACAAGTGTGCTATTAACCTAAGCTACCTACCAAAAATAAATAGTATCCCATATTTTTTAGTCCTGATGGCAGAGGAACTATATTAAACCTGATGAAAGTAGGCATGTTATACAGAGTAATAAGAAATGTTTAAATTACTGGAATAGTAGATCTCTAATTATGGTTATAACTATGTTTAACTGGATATTTTTAATTGACTGAATACTCCATAATGAGTATAAATATATTGATGTATTACTTTTATGCAATAAATAACCATATACATTTCTATATCATTTAGAAAATCATATTACTGATTTTCAAACATTTTAAAAAGTGTTGGAAAAAGAAGCAGAAAACACACATGGTATATGCTCACTCATAAGTGGTTATTCGACATATAATATAGGATAAACATACTAAAATCTGTACTCCTAAAGAAGTTAAGCAAGAAGGAGGAGCCTGGGTAAGATGACCAATCCTCATTCAGAAAGGCAAACAGGATTGACATCAGAAGAGGGAGAAAACAGGGAATAGGACAGGAGCCTACCACAGAGGGCATTTGAAAGGCTCTACCCAGCAGAGTATCAAAGCAGATGCTGAGTCTCATAGCCAAACTTTGGGCAGAGTGCAGAGAATCTTATCAAAGAAGGGAGTAGATAGAAAAACCTGGAGGGGACAGGAGCTCCACAAGGAAAGCAATAAAACCAAGAAATGTGAGCCCAGGGGTCTTTTCTGAGACTGATACTCCAACCAAGGACCATGCATGGATATAACCTAGAACCCCTGCACAGATGTAACCTATGGCAGCTCATTCTCCAAGTAGGTGTCCTAGTAAGGGGAACAGGGGCTGTCTCTGACATGAACTCAGTGGATCATGTCTCTTTGATCACCTCTCCATGAGGGGGGAGCAGCCTTACCAGGCCACAGAGGAAGATAATGCAGCCAGCCCCGATGAGACCTGATAAACTAGGGTGAGATGGAAAGGGAGGAGGACCTCCCCTATCAGTAGACTGGGGGAGGGTCATGGGAGGAGAAGAAGAAGGGAAGGTGGGATTGGGAGGGAACAATGCAGGGGGTTACAGCTGGGATACAAAGTCAATAAACTGTAATAAAGAAAGGAAAAAAAAGTGTTGGAAAAGGAGAAGCGCAAATTAGAACAAAGCAAAGTGACACATTTATGTGACAATGCCCAAATGAATGCCATTACTTTGGATGGTAACTTTAAAAACAAGCAAACAACAACAACAAAAAAAGTCTGGTATAATACTGTAATTTCAGCAATCAAGATGCTGAGGCAGGCAGATGACTGAAGTTCAAGGCCTGCATAGTCTTCACATAGCAAGTTCTAGCAGCCAGGAATTTACAGCAAGACCGAATCTCACAAAACCACAAATTGAGTTTAAAAATAATTATTTGAGCATTGTCCCAAGGGGTTGAAAAGTAAGGTGAAAGTTGATCTGAACCATGTATTTATTTAAATAATAAATAATAAAGTAGTTTTAAAAGGGTTATGAAATCCATGAATTACAAATGGCAAATAATTATATCAGCTACTATTCTTTAGAAGTCTAATAAGTATATCCAGTTTCTTTTTGTGTTTCCAGGTGTTTCAAAGTAAATTCATATTTAGTGACCACCATGGAAATAGCTGATTAACTTGTGTTTTATCATGGAAATCAAAATACTTGGGGATGTTTCTCTTTACAGAATATCTTTAGTAAATATCTTTTAGATACTGGACATTGAACGAGAGATTCTGCATGCCTTACCTCATAGAATTTGGTCTACCAGTAACAGCATATATAACAGACATTACATGGCACAACATGGCACAGCCAGGTTTCTGAGAGCTAGATTGGAATAAAACATCTTGAAAGAGACTAGACAAAAATGAAATGTTGCTCTTAGGGGAACAAATCAAAAAGCAATTTCCTTTTCAGAAGTCACTAAAGCTAAACAAAAATGATGAAAGGAAAAGAACTCTGAATCATGAATTTTATATTCAGCAAATTTATCCTTTGTTATTGAAGGGAAAATATTCTCATATTAAGCAAAGCTATGAGAATGTTTTACCAGCAGGTTTATTCTTATAGAACTGCTAAGGCATACATTCTGAACAGACAAAGATAAAAGTGGCTAATAACTTCAGGAAGAAATAAAAACAAGAAAATTAGGGAAATTAAGGCTAGTCATAATAGACTAACATCCTCATAAGTTCTTTAAAGTTTCTTAGAAATTTATCAGTACTTAGAAATTTTCAGTACTCATACAGAGGAAAAAATATAGGAGAAGTAGAAATGAATTAAAAAACAAATCTACAATTATATTTAGTAAAGTCTAGACTACTCTTTCATCAGTTGATAGACCAGCACTTGGCCATAGATTAGTTATTCAGCGCTTACACAGTACGTGCAAAGCTCTGAAATCAAGAAAAGACGAGCAACTAAACAGAAAGTTAGTAAGAGAAGCAAAAAGAATGAGTACTATTATCAACCAATGGGGTCGAATAGATACTTGATTTCAGCTTCTATTTTATTGATTTATGTTTTATATATGGGTATTTTAACCACAAGTTACAAAACTTGAAAAATTAAACTTATAAAGGGTATTTTTCAGATTTCATAAAAATCATACAAAAATCATTTAAAAAGGACCAGAGAAGCAGGGCATGGTGGCCATGCCTTTAAGCCCAGTACTCAGTGAGGCAGAGGAAGGCAGATTGCTGTGATTTCAAGGCCAGCCTAGTTTACTAAGGGAGTCTAGGAGATCCAAGGTTACATTAAAAATCCAAGCAAACAACCAAACAAAAACTAGAGAAATCTTCATGTCTTGTCCATATTAAATTTCATTCTACATTTCAGCATTGATTATATTCATAAGACCAGTTACATAAATCTTGATATTAATACCTTGTCTGACTTGTCAGTCGAAATTCCATAAGAGATGTCTTGAATAAACCTATTCCTTGGATGTCAATGACATCCTCCACTTCAGGCTCAGTAGCAATCAATGTTATAGGAAACTTCCAGATTCCATCTGTTATGCACTCAATTTTCAATGTGATATGAGCCCTTGAATACAAAGAGATTTAAAAAAATACAATACTGTGACAAGAAAAAAGATTAAATATATCAAATACTTACAGTCAAAATGAAAATACCCCTTCAGCTCAGCTAAATAAAGAATGGGAACATTTCATTAAACAGAAATTGTGGTACATTTGCATAAAGGAATATTACTCAGGTAAAAACAAAGAAATCATGAAATTTACAGGCAAATGGTGGGAACTAGAAAAGATCATCCTCAGTGAGGTATCCCAGAAGCAGAAAGACACACATGGTATAAACGCACTTATAAAGTGGATATTAGACATATAATATAGGATAATCATACTAAAATCTGTACACCTAAGGAAGCTAATCACGAAAGACCACCCTGGGGAAGATGATAATCTTCATTCAGAAAGGCAAAGAGGATGGACATTGGAAGAGGGAGAAAACAGGGAACAGGACAGGAGCCTCTTCACAGAGGGCCTCTGAAAGACTCTACCCAGCAGGGTATCAAAACATATGTTGAGATTCGTAGCCAAACTTTTGGCAGAGTGCAGGGAATCTTATGAAAGAAGGGGGAGATAGAAAGACCTGGAGGGAACAGGAGCCCCACAATGAGAGCAACAGAACCAAAAAATCTGGGCACAGTGGTCTCTTCTGAGACGGATACTCCAAACAAGGACCATGCATGGAGATAACTTAGAACCCTTGCGTAGAAGTAGACCATGGCAGCTCAGTGTCCAGGAGAGTTACCCAATAATAGAACAGTGACCAACCATTTCTGACATGAACTCATGGGCTGGATCTTTGATCACCTCCACCTGAGGGGACAGCAGCCTTACCAGTCTACAGAGGAAGACAAAGAAGCCAGTCCTCATGAGACCTGATAGGCTACAGTCAAATAGAAGGGGAGGAGGACCTCACCTATCAGTGGACTAGGAGAGAGGCATAGGGGGAAAAGAGGGATGGAGGGTAGGGTTGGGAAGGGGTGGGGGAGGGGCTACAGCTGGGATACAAAGTGAATAAACTGTGATTAATACAAATAAAATTAAATTAAAAATAATTTAAAAAATAAAATAAAATTGAAAAATCCGAATGTCTGTTATTTCTATTTTAGGAATGATTTTGTAGTTAATAATTTACAGCATTATTGTACCATTTGGTAAGTATTTTGTGTGTCTTCTTATCTACTCTGAAAAGCACAGTAATTGTTGCAAAACTGACTGAAGATTTTCTGTAACCAACAAAACTATCAATGTACTTAGTAAGTTATAGGTACATTCTGGCAAAAAGATCAAATAAGCTGTTTTTTTCCCCATTAGAATCCCTTTTATAGTCTATTAGCTAGAAATGCTATAGTTCCAAATGTTTTTGCATAGAATCAAACAAATAATGTAATCCAAATATTTACAGACACAAAAAGCACACCAAATTAAAAAGAGTACCAACACTATATTTAGGAGAGAAGGGAATTATGTTTACCTGAATGGCTTTCTTGGTGTAAATATCAGATTGAAAACCAATGAAATTAATTCATGTTTTATATTAAATCGTTTTCTGTACAAATATAAAGTTACCGAGGATTCCAGGCTAGACTTTAAATCTTCAGATTCAAATTCTATTTCATACTCAAATTCACGTCTTTTAGGATTTACTAGGAAAATGAAAACGAAAGTATATGTCAGTTTAGCTCATTACACATAAACTGACCATCAATTAAAATGTCAACATTATTTCTAAACAGGTTTTTAGAGGAAGGAAAAAGGGAAATTCTAGATTTATTTTCATAATGTTCACTACAATACCAGTTATATAATACTGTGAGTAATTTTGTTAAAAATATTAAAATATATATGCCATTTTCAACATCTTTAATTATAATTCAAGCTTATGGAACAAGAAAAACCAAACAAAATTGATAGCCAACATTAACTATGAAAAAGAACACTTTTACATGTGTGATATGTGATAAATAGTGTTCCCTTATAAAAAGTAACAGTGGATACATTTTCACAGTTACTCCTTCTATATTGTCTCTGGAGAACAGTTTATTCAAGTTCCTTAGCCTAGTTTTCAAATAGGTTATTAGGTAATTTTAATAGTTGGAGGAATTCTGTATATTTTTTGGAGATTAACTCTTTATCAGATATATAGCTTGCAAATATTTCTCCCTTTCAAAACTCTATATTTTCTATATATTAATTATATATTTTTCTGTGATTACAACTTGTTAGGTATGGAATCCTTTTGGCTTCAGATTTTGGAATTTGAAATCTAGAATACTCTTGATATCCCATGCCAATTATTTTAATTTATATAGAAAATATGAAACAGAAATAAAATATGCGTGGTAAAATTTATCATTTAGAAATTTATTTAAGCATTACATGTAATTCATATCAATTTTTCTATTTTTTAATGTAAGAAACACTCATTCAAATTTGTTTTTTTTTTGAAGAAATAAATATTTTATTAGAGTAAGCCTCTAATTTTGCAGTTACACAATTGCTTGTTCAAACAGAAAAAGATACTCTTTCTGTATCTGCAGGGCAGTTACAGTTATGGTAAGGCAACAGAAATAATGTTGTAATCTGAAGTCAAAAGGAAAGCCACAAGATCACCTACTTGGGCAACTTTTCATTGTCTTAGCTCAGAAACAGACTTGTTTCTTAAACCTTTGTTATTATTTTTAATCTGTTTTGATCGTACCCCCTAACAAATATATTTAACATGGTAGCTCCCTCTCAGGTACTCAGCTGGTAAGTTTCACAAAACAATACTTGCCTTTACTGCATGATGCATTTTGATCTACTTTATTCTACTTTATTGTTTTGTAATGCCAGTGGCCACCCACAATTCAGTATTAGGCTGAAACCCTGTCTGAGCTCAGCATAGTTTGTGATCTTTGTAAGCCACTCCATATATGAAAAGACTTGTGACTTGAACTAAGAAAAGGTTTTTGCTCTTGAGGATTCAGAAGTAAACCTGAATCATGTATTTGAAAAAAAGGCCAAAATAGATGGCAAGAATTATGTGTAAACAAACAGGATGTTCAAGGAGAAGCAACTGAGGCAAGGAGGGCTCAAGAAAGCGCCAACAGATATCACACTTTAAGGCAACTCAACACTTTGTACAATGTCAAATGACCAGAGTATGAGTGGTATTAAAACACTGCAGAAATGGAGTCTTCCCTCACATCTGATGGTTTACAAGACAGAACATCAGCCCAAAGTGTGTTTCTAAGATGAGGGCTTCCTGTGGGCCCTGCACTTTTCCAGGTGTTTTAGCATATTAGCATCTAGAAAATAAGTACAGATGTGCCCATAGAGATACCACAGGAAGCCACAACCACACATGAACCTTAGGATCACTAATGCTACATGACACTCATGTCATGTCATAAGATACTCATAGCAGAGTTGCTCAGCCTTAATTGTAATATTGCTTCAGTAACAATTCTTGAATCTCGAAGGGACTCATTGTTTAGCCCAGTTTCACAATGCTTTGTATAACATGTATGAAATGCGCAGTTAAATGTTCAAGACCACACAAAAAATCATGAAAATAAATATATTAAAGTTGAGTTCCATTAGAAACCTGACTTACAGATGAGTGCTGGATTCACTCCAGAGAAAATGGCCAGATAATGTGGTGAGAATTTCCACAGAAGGCAGTATAGACAAAAAGGTGGTTTCTTGGTAGGTGAAAAAATGGAGATAATGGAGAGATCCAAGATGGTGGTGACCAGCACACACAGTTTCTGAGAGGCAGAGGAGCCTTGCTAGGCCACAGAGGAGGACATGGCAGCCAGTTCTGAAGATACCTGATAAGCTAAGGTCAGTTGGAAGGGGAGGAGGACATCCCCTATCAGTGGACTTGGAAAGGGGCAGGGAGGAGATGAGGAAGGGAAGGTGGGATTGGGAGGGAATGAGGGAGCAGGCTACAGCTGGGATACAAGTGAATAAACTGTAACTAATTTTAAAAAATAATAATTTAGTTAAAAAAAGAAACTTGACTTCTGAAGTGTTTCTTTTTTCAATGTTGAAAGATTTACAATCCATGTTATGTAAATGGTGTAGTAATAAGAGCTACTATCACTATTGAGATAACCACCATGTAAAAGCAATATATGTAACAGAGTTCATTAGTACTAACTTGAATAGTATATTAAATAAAAAGTAAATGGTTCTTAATTACTGAGAAATCAGCAACCTACATTTTAAAATAAATAAGTTTCATTTACTATAATTAATTCTTATAGCCATGTTTATAATTCTCTTACCATGCATATCTTCATAAAAACTGTTAAGTGAATTTTTCGGAAACACTAAAAATTCTGTCAATTCATGTGATGGACGTGAGCCAAAAAATCTGCCAAACATTGTCACTTTTACTTTCTCTTCTACCCGTTTGTTGGCCTGACATTTTATGACAACTGTAGGTGAAAAGTTTTGTTTTAATTAATTCAGTTGTTAGGTATTATTATTATTGAGATAAGATAAATTTTTATAAAAATAAAACTTCATCGAACACAATATAAACCGGCATTTTGTATGGCACATACTCTTGTAATATATCCATACATAATATAGAAACATCAACATTAATAGATAAAATAGTATCTAGAAGACAAATATATATATATATATATATATATATGCATATACTAGATGATTAGAGACTATATTAGGATGTAGAAATTCGTTTCAGGAACTAATATCATCAGGTCACTAATTGCAAGTGGCAACTCTGGACACATGAGCTTCATTTAAAACATCTGTATTTATTGCTGTAATCTGTGATCTACTTTTATAACAGCAGCAGTGTATATGCATTCAAATAAATTATAAGTTCAGTAATTCTTACTTTATAATAATATTTAAAATACTTGTATTTGGCTTTTCACATGTACTTTATAATTCATACTTACAAAGACTTTTAAATTTTAAATCTATAAAATCTATCATGTTAGTGGTTATATATAAAACTATAGTAACTTAGTCTTAAGTTTGATGTGTCATTGTTAATTTGTAGTATTAATATTCTCTGTGTAATAATTATACATGTATTACAAGCCAATGTTTATCCCTCTGTAGTTGTCAGTAGTATATTATAATCAAAATGTTTGTATGCATAATTACTAATTACATAAATAACATGTCATATTTGACAGTAGCTCTATAATACTATTGAGTAATTTATATGGAAGTTTACATATACAAAAATATTTTCCTCAAATATATTATTATTCTAGTGAACACAGATTACATAATGAACATAAGTGAAAAATTAGAACCTGTATTTTAAAATATTTGAAGAACATTATAGTTGTTTAGACTCAAGAGTAATATTGTTGGCCTTATGATCTACAAAATTAACTGATGTTCTCTGACATATTTTTATAATATTCATTATATTGTATTGGTATTACAAAATTAATTTTATATTTTATATTTAAGTGTTTACAAATAGTATTTATATATCTTATAAATAGTATGTAAAATAAAAATAACTGTATAAAATCAGAGATAAAGGAATGCCCTGGTTTGGTAAAATGTGTACATTTTTTCTGGTGATAATTAAGTTCAACTTTGAGGTGTTAAGTCCGAAGCTAATGAGGTCAATTTACAATTGGTGTCATGTTCACTGGTCTTCACAAGTGTATCTTTAAGAAATTAATGCTACATCCATCACAGTGGATTCATTTCTTATTTTGTTATAGTATAACAGGTAATGGAAATATTTCCTTATTATCTGTCCTAATGGGCAGTAAACATATAAGTCACAGAGTGAATTGGAAGCTTAAAGATAAACAAAATTTTTACTGGGTGTGCAAATGATTTGGGTGTTACGGAAAAAAAAAAAAACAGAATAACAAGACAGTGGTGTAGTTGAACAAAGACAGCACTGGGCTATCTCTGGTATTAAGAAAATAATGTAGACTGTCCAAAAGCAATAATTGTATGTAAATAAAAATTTAACCACTTGCTTCTGAAAAGGATTCCTACAAAAATAACTACCAGCATGATTTTAGACTTCTGGAAAATAATTTCATACCAAATATCTAATTTGCTTCAGAATACTTAGTTATTACTATTTTGTCTTAGTCTGACTTAGATTACTTGTAAAATACATAACTGATTTTTAAAAATCCCCTATCAGTGGACTATTTATCAAAAGGATAGTAATGGGCTCTTATAGGACAATGAATCCAAAAGCAGTGGTTATTTGACTAATCTACAATCCCAAGATGAATTCCATCCTATGGACAGACATTAAATCTTAGCAAGTAACATTTAGTTATTTCCATAACTATCATGCCACTATTGTAGCAGCGGTCCCATTATATCTTGTGTCTGGAACTGGGCAAGTCTGTTGATGGTATTTCTTCTTCAGAAGACTGCCTAGGGGCCTATAACACTTTAAAAATCATTTAAAAGGATGGAAGTTTGTAGCACAGTTTAGATGGATGTCTCAGTATAGGGGAGGAAGGGCCTTCAAGGAACAATACCCAGGATATCTATTCCCACCAGAATGAGCAGGGACCACGTAACATCTCTCTTGAGAAGGCAACTCCAGATTAATTTCACTGTTGAACTTTATCTAAATTTATAATTTTAATGGTAGAATATAGTCATTTGTGCTTATTATAGATGTTTTAGCCACATGATGATTGTGACTACCCTTGATCACACAGTCTCACTCTCCTTTCTCGGAGCAGGATAAGGATTCTTTTACACTTAAGACACTGTAATTTCCACTGGTCTCCCTGGTAGCAAACAGTTTACTCATCTCCATTCTACTGGCTTTGTCCTGGCCCAGGGGGAAACCTTTCCACATTCCAATAATTCCACTAATCCCAGTAAGCAGAGTTACTTTTTCTTCATTGGTCAGACTGCCTCTCCTAGGTTTCTTGGTATCTGCTAATGAATATTTTCCTTACAAATTCTAATAGCTTGCTTGGAAAAATAGGGGAGAGGAAGAGAAAAGTCGGGTGGGGCTGGGAGGAGATGAGGGAGGGGGCTACATCTGGGATACAAAGTGAATAAATTATAATAAATGATAATAAAAAGGAAAATTTTTAAATGAAGTAATTATAAAAATATTAAATCACAGAACAAATGTATGGAACCTGTTTGATTTTCTTTGAAGGAAATACATGAGGAAGTATTTTTAAAAGGCTTTTTAAAAGAACAATATTTCTGCTTAAAATATTTAATCTGGGAAAACAAAAAAAATTGATAGGTAGAACAAAGCAGAAACAAAAGTTTAATATTTAGTTATTATAGGGTGTTGAGCTCTTAGTAGTGTATTATACATTTTAAGAAATAGTAAGAGTTGGAGGGGACGGGAACTCCACAAGCAGAGCAACAGAACAAGATAATTTGAACACAGGGAACTTCCCAGAGACTCATACTCCAACCAAGGACTATTCGTGGAGATAACCTAGAACTCCTGCACAGATGTAGCCCATGGCAGTTCAGTGTCCAAGTGGGTTACATAGTAAGGGGAAGAGGGACTGCCTCTGACATAATCTGATTGGCCTGCTCTTTGATCACCTCCCCCTGAGGGGGGAGCAGCCTTACCAGGCCACGGTAGAGGACAATGCAGCCACTTTTGATGAGAACTGATAGACTAAGATCAGAAAGGAGAGGAGAACCTCCCCTATCAGTGGACTTGGGGAGTGGCATGCATGCAGAAAGGGGAGGGAGGGTGGGATTGGGAGGGGAGGAGGGAGGGGCTTATGGGGGGATACAAAATGAATAAAGTGTAATTAATAAAAAAATAAAATATATATATATATATATATATATATATATATATATATATATATATATATATATAAAAGGAAGTGTAGCACTTCTTAAAAGTATGGAAAAGACAAAAATAACATAAAAGATAACTCTTGAGGAATGGATACCGAAATTGGGGTACATCTTCACAATGGAATGTTACTCAGCAATAAAAAACAAGGAAATCATGAAATTTGCAGGTAAAAGGTGGGAACTAGAAAAGATCATCATGAGCGAGGTATCCTAGAAACAGAAAGACACACAGGGTATATACTCACTCATAAGTGGATATTAGACATACAATATAGGATAAACATACTAAAATTTGTACACCTAAGGAAGCTAATCAAGAAGGAGGACTCTGGCTAAGATGCTCAATCTCTATTCAGAAAGGCAAAGAGGATGGACATCGGAGGAGGGAGAAAACAGGGAACAGGACAAGAGCCTACCACAGAGGGCCTCTGAAAGGCTCTACCCTTCAGGGTATCGAGGCAGATGCTGAGACTCATAGCCAAACTTTGTGCAGAGTGCAGGTAATCTTATGAAAGAAGGGAGAGATAGTAAGACCTGGATAGGACAGGAGTTCCATTAGGAGAGCAACAGATCCAAAATGTCTAGGCACAGGGGTCTTTTCTGAGACTGATACTCCAGCCAAGGACCACTCGTGGAGATGGCATGAAACCCCTGCACAGAGGTAGCCCACAGCAGTTCAGTGTCCAAGTGGGTTCCATAGTAATGGGGACAAGGACTGCCTCTGACAGAAACTGATTGGCCTGCTCTTTGATCACCTCCCCCTGAGGGGGGAGCAGCCTTACCAGGCCACAGAAGATGACAATGCAGCCACTCCTGATGCGACCTGACAGACTAGCATCAGAGGGAAGGGGAGAAAGACCTCCTTTATCAGTGGTTGGTGGAGGGGTATGGGTAGGGAAGAGGGAGGGAAGGATTTACAGGGGGGATACAAAGTGAATAAACTGTAATTAATAAAAATAAAAATAATAAAAAAGCATCTCTGAAACATTTTTAAGATAATATATACAAAATGACTTATGTAGGTGTTAATAAAGTGAAGAGAATAACTACAAGCTCCATTGACTTGTAAATATATATATATATTTAAATAAATATATTTAAATAAATAATATATATATTAAATATATATATATTTAAATTATATATATTTAAATATATATATATATAATAAATACCATATATATGGGTTTTTTTTTCCAGTTAAAACAGGAAGGTATTTAAATTTGACCATTTTTTTATAACCAATGCAAGCATATTTAGGGAAATGCTCTGGTACAAGAAAAACTTATCTCTTTTTCCTATTTTAACCTGTGATGATGTAATCTAAGTTCAGTAGAGACTAATCACCTTTTATCTCTTTGTTATTTTATTTCATTTGTTTTGTTGCTGAAGATTGACCCCAGGCCTGTTTTACATGCCAAGGTAGCACTTTACCATGAGCTATAGCTTCAGCCCAGAAGTCTTATTCTTTCATTTGCAACATTTGATATGGAGAATTAAAGAAGAGAATTTCAAACCTTTGAAAACTCCATCAGAATTTCTTATGGTAGGTACCCAAGACATGATTTACCACACCTACTGGTAAGAAAGAAAGAATTTTTGCAGTTTCCTCACAAGTAAGCTTGTAGCATATCTGTTTGTATTTGCATAAAGAGATGGAATTATAGGATGGCTAAGGTCTCTTGGAATTCAGAGCTTTTTTTTCTCCTGAAAAAATACTTACTTGGAGAACTTTTAGGGGGCGGTGCCTGTGGAAGTCCAATGATAGGGTACATCCAATATATTGCATGAGTTTCCCCATGGTCTTCTCCAATAAATCTATTCAGAAATTAAAATACATAAAGTTAACTCAGGACAGAAATACTGTCAATATAAATCAAGGAAATAATAATCATATATCTGTATCTATAATATAGGGATGTAATAGCAATTAGTGAAAAAAGAGGCCATGGATATGAAAGAGCAAGTTGGGTATATGGGAATGTTTTGAGTGAGAAAAGAAAATGATAAAATTATATTGTAATCTTAAAAATAAAATAACTAAGAGGAAAAGAAAAATGATGTATTCTTCATTGCTCTGAAGTTATTTTAGTAAAGCTTATGCAATTATAATTAGGTAGACAGACTTACAGAATAGGAAACATTTTCTTAATCAGCTGATGTTATAAATATGTGGTCTTAGAAAATTATTCTAAAGTAAACCACCATGAGGTGTAAGTTAAAATGTAGGAGTTTTAGTCATTACCTTCCAAAAGTACATTTGTATTTATTTCTGTAACTAAATGGTGACTGGGAGTTAAGACAGTTCATTTGGTGATAGCCTTAATTATACAGTGAAAAATCACAACATTCAAAACCCTATTAATTACGGGGCTTCAGAAAAGTATGTAAACGTTTATTTTAAGGTGATACCAGTTAAAATGAGAGTATACCTCTCATCTACTATTAGGAAATAAATTTAGAAAAGTTTGATCATTTCTGAAGGTGGAATTTTCTTATAAAATAAAATGTTAAAGACTGCACAGCAGACCATCTTTGCATGTGATTTGTGTATCTGGCTCCTATGACACCATAGCCAAAAGGGCTCTGTGCCTTTAAGCACAACTCTTCTACAATTCTTACTACATTTTAACAAGATTGCTTTCATTGTAATTTCTCAGTGAAATGCCACATACATGTGCACATGTAATTAACTGTGACTCTGGGCATGGTGAATGCCTGGTAGAATGGATAATAATTAAACCACAGTAACCATGTGGAGAAGAAATATGCAAATGTATGATAAATTAAGGTTTTGATTTTAATTAAGGTTTCTAGACTAATTAAACTATTAAAGCAGAGGAAACATTTAAGATTTGTATGCTTATTGAAGTATGCTTCATTTTCAGCTAAGCAAAGAATGAAAGTTACCTTCATTCTGGAAATGGCATTGAAATGATACACCTTGGTTAGAGCAGTGGTTCATCACTTGTTGCATGCCAGCTTTACAAGTTCTCCATTTTGTTCAGACAAGCTGCTGATGCAGGTTGCCCTCAAGTTATTATTTCTTGTTTTGTCAGTCACTTACTGTTTTCCCTTTGTTCACATCTGACTGGTTAAAGGTAATACTGATCTTGTTGACTACTCTGAACTACAACAAACATCTTATTTTTCTGGACATAAGAGCTGCAGTAGTAAAGATCATATTGAGCTTTATGTTATCATACATTATAGACACCTATCACATCAAGTTCAGTCAAAACACAAACTTTGTCTTTCTATGTCACAATTATTACCTCTTAGTCTCTGCACTTAGTTCATCAAAATTGTCAATAAGCCACTTTTTGTTGTTTGCTCTCTTCACTTTAACAATCATCATTGTTTTGTATAATGTCATAGCAGAAGGTATAAATAAAACTGAGATATCTAAGTTTCCTTTAGGAGGAATGACAATTCCTGTAAAACACAAAAACAATTATAAATGTTATAACATGCTTGCTCAGCCATGTTCATTACTGCTCTACTCACAACAGCCAGAATGGAAACAACTGAAATGTCCTTCTACTAATAAAAGCATAATAAAAATGTGGTACATAAAAAATGTAATACATATACACAATGGAAAAGTAAACGAAATTATGAAATTTGCATGTAAGTTGGTGGAACTGAAAAATATTATACTGAATGAGGTAATCAGGCCCAGAAATACAAATATCGCATTCTCTTTTTTTATTTTACACCATAATTTTAATACCAGAAAGTAATATCTTTATGTTTTTACTGGCCAATAATATTTCAAATTTCCTTCTGAACAAAAAACACATTCTGTTAACTTGTAAATGCTTTACTATCTTTCCCCTAAATTTCATGAACTGTATTCGAATGTCCATTTTATTCTAAAGTAAGAAATTTCTCTTGAAGAAGCTTTGAATTTGATAGATCTTAAAATTGATGGCTAAGGTTATCTAGAGTGATAAAAGAAGCAAAAAACTCATGAATTTTTGCAAACTCTTGATACATTTTGTGGACTTTTGGAATAATTTATAGAAGAAAGTGTATATCCCTGTTTGTTGTGCATTTGAGGAGGCTTCAATCTGGATATATAATGAATAAATGGTAAAAAAAAAAAAGCTGCTTCAAAATCAAATACATTCATTGTTGTGAATATAAACATGTTTTTGTTTTAGTCCCAGGTGTGGGATGTGAGACTGATTCAGATGATCCACAGCAGCAGACTATTTGCTATGCCTGCACTCTGCTCTTTGCCAGCTGCAGATAGTGTAAATCTTACTCTGGAGAAAGAATAAATGTCACAACAGAGAGAGTGAAGCTCCAAGAAAGAACAAAGCTGCTGCTGCTTCCTTCTTGCTGCTCCTGCTTGCTGTTGTGAGACAAGAAGTTGGAGATCTCCTGAAATAAAGACTAGACTGGCTCCAAGGAGCCGAAGGACCCTAACCAGCCAGAAGCAGCTAAGAAAAGGAACTGTGACCCCCCTCTCACACTAACCCTTTCTCTCTCATACCTTATGTTGTGGTGTTGGAAGGGATCGGGGTGGAGTAGGGAGAAAAAGATATGTAAAAAGAGTTTCACTCTTTGTTCTTTTTTTTTTTTTTTTTTTTTTTTAAAGTACACCGACCGTTCATATCTTTGTTTGGTGCCCTCAGGTTTTTGGGAATAAAATCTTTTCATCCTCAAGAAGACCCAAATATTACTTAATTTAAAGAAAGGTGGTATAGTCTACCACCTAGTTTTCTTATCTCTCAGTCAGAAGCCAGAAAAAAGTCTGAAAATCTTTATTGTCAGATTAACTAGGAAAGTTTGAGGTTTACTAAAGACCACCTAAATAAAAATCATGCCTCTAATGAAGCATGATTCAACAACTAATGAAGTTGTTGAATCCCAACTCAAGGGAATCGGTTATGTTCCATGTAAGTGAGGGCCCAGGAAGACACCAGTAGAAATATAACTTACTTCAATATAAAAACTTTATTGAAGGAAGTATTCTACTATCTATCCTATCTTGGTGAGTCCAAAATTCTGTACCTAAATCACTTTATATCAAAACTTGCAACTCCAATCCAAAACTATATCTTTAGACCTAAAACATCTTCTTTAATCCTAAAGAACGTAATTGTAAGAATAAAACTATTCACTCTTGAACCTCATCAGAGAACTGAGCATTAATAGCATCTGAATAAACAGTAAGTGCAGAGCAAGCAGCTTCCAAAATTATAGAGATGACAGAGACTGCTGGCTGCCTGGACAGTCACCAAAGGTACCTTTATAATGTAAGAACATCTTCTTCACCTTTCTGGCTCAGAATACCCAACAGTCCTTTCTTTGAAGCAGGTATTATGACAGACTTGCCTACCTTGTCCTTGCAAAGCTCAGCAATCCAAGTTCCTGCATCAGGTTTGTTCATCATTCTGTCTGCTGTAGAAATAAAGGCATTCCTTGCCCACAAGCTAGCTTGCCTCATATAGTGCCATCTCCTAAATGAGAATTTTTTTTGATGCTCATCATCTTCTACAAAGTTGAAAAAGGGTGATGCCAGGAGCTGACATGTCTCATTGTCAAAAAATTATCAAATTAATAAAATATCTTTAAATGCCATATTCTATAGAACCCTGAGGCTTTTGAAGACATCCATCTGTCTCTAGTATATCTGAATTACTTGTTTCTAACTACATATTGACTGATTAACTTAGTTCAATTTAGTTTAACTGAGCTAGTACCTAAAAAACAACAAATTTGATTGATTATTAGTATGCATTTCTTAATTATCCTAAACAGTTTATGATAGTAGCTTTCAAAAGGACTCGAATTTCACATGGCATTGTTAAGAATTACATAGGTACAATAACTTAAAATGAGTTGATACACAGTATGCTCTAACCAAAATATAGCCAAAATTTTGTATCAATATACTACAAATGAACTATACCAATGTAACCAATTGTAACCTTAATTTTGTATCAATATACAAAGATTGATACAAAGAGTACATTCAATAATCAACCTTTTTTTTCGACTGTACCTATATTATTTCTTTTTTTAAAATTCTTTATTAATTACACTTTATTCACTTTGTATCCCCCCTGTGGTTCCCTCCCTCCTCCCATCCCAATCCCTCACATTCCCCACCCTCTGCATGCATGCCCCTCCCCAAGTCCACTCATAGGGGAGGTCTTCTTTTCCTTCCTTCTGATCCTAGCCAATTAGATCTCATAAGGAGTGGCTGCATTGTCTTCTGTGGCCTGGTAATGCTGCTTCCACCTCAGGGGGAGATAATTGATGGGAAGTGCATTGAATCTGTAGATTGCTATTGGTAATATGGCCATTTTTACTATATTAATCCTGCCAAGCCATGAGCATGGGGGATCTTTCTATCTTCTGACATCTTCTTCTAATTCTTTCTTCAGAAACTGGAAATTTTTTTTCATACAAGTCTTTGACTTGCTTGGTTAGGTTCACACCAAGGTACTTATGTTCTTTTTGGCTATTGTGAAGGGTGTTGTTTCCCTACTTTCTTTCTCAGCTCTCTTGTCTTTTGTATACAGGAGGGCTTCCGATTTTTCTTTTTTGAGTTAATTTTGTATCCAGCCACTTTGCTGAAGATGTTAATCAGCTGTAGGAGTTCCCTGGTAGAATTTTTGGGGTCACTCAGGTATACTATCATATCATCTGCAAATAGTGTTAATTTGACTTCTTCCTTTCCAATCTGTATCCCCTTGATCTCCTTCAATTGTCTTATTGCTCTAGCAAGGACTTCAAGAACAGTATTGAAGAGATATGAAGAGAGTGGGCAGCCTTGTCTTGTTCCTGATTTAAGTGAGAATGATTTAAGTTTCTCTATACTGAGTTTGATGTTGGCTATAGGCTTGCTGTATAATGCCTTTACTATGTTCAGATATATGCCGTGTATCCCTGATTTCTCCAAGACTTTAAACATGAATGGATGTTGGATTTTGTCAAATGCCTTTTCAGCATCTAAGGAGGTGATCATGTGGTTTTTCTCCTTCAGGGTGTTTATGTGGTGGATCACATTGATGGATTTCCATATACTGAACCACCCCTGCATGCCTGGGATAAAGCCTACTTGGTCGTAGTGGATGATAACTTTGATGTGTTCTTGGATTCAGTTTGCAAATATTTTGTTGAGTATTTTTGCATCAATGTTCGCGAGGGATTGGCCTGAAATTTTCTTTCTTTGTTGGGTCTTTGTGAGGTTTAGGTACCAAGGTGACTGTGGCTTCATAGAATGAGTTTGGTAGTGTTCCTTCTGTTTCTATTTTGTGGAATAGTTTGAAGAGTAGTGGTGTTAGCTCTTCTTTGAAGGTCTGGTAGAATTCTGTGCTGAAACCATCTGGCCCTGGGCTTTTATTGCTTGGTAGACTTTTGTGACAGCTTCTATTTCTTTAGGGGATATAGGACTTTTTAATTGGTTTGCTTGGTCTTGATTCAGCTTTGGCATATATAATTGGTCAAGAAAATTGTCCATTTCATTTAAGTTTTCAAATTTTGTGGCATATAGTCTTTGGAAGTAAGACGTAATTATTGTTTGGATTTCTTCAGTGTCTGTGGTTTTGTCCCCCTTTTCATTTCTGATTTTGTTGATTTGGATAGTTTCTCTCTGCCTTTTAGTTAGCGTGGCTTAAGGGTTTGTCTCTTTTGTTTATTTTCTCAAAGATCCAGCTCTTGGTTTCATTGATTCTTTGAATTGTTTTATTTGTTTCTAATTGATTGATTTCAGTCCTGAGTTTGATTATTTCCAGCAGTCTACTCCTCTTTGGTGTGTCTACTTCTTTTTTTCTAGGGCTTTTAAGTGAGCCATTAATTTGCTTGCTTGAGATTTTTCGAATTTCTTCTTGAAGGCACTTAGTGCTATGAACTTTCCTCGTCGTATTGCTTTCATTGTGTCCCATAAGTTTGGGTATGTTATGCCTTCATTTTCATTGAATTCTAGCAAGCCTTTAATTTCTTTCCTTATTTCTTCTCTGACCCAACTGTCATTTAGTAGCAAGTTGGTCAGTTTCCATGTGTGTGTAAGCCTTTTGCTATTTTTGTCATTGAGGTCCAGCTTTAGTCCATGGTGATCAGATAGAATACAAGGGATTATTTCAATCTTCTGGTATTTGTTGAGTCTTGCTTTGTGACCAACTATGTGGTCTATTTTGGAGAAGGTTCCATGAGGTGCTGAGAAGAAGGTAAATTCTTTTGTGTTTGGGTGACAGGTTCAGTAGATGTCCGTGAGGTCCATTTGATTCATGACCTCTTTCAGAGTTATTGTTTCTTTGTTTAATATCTGTTTTGTTGACCTGTCATTTGTTGATTGTGGGGTGTCGAAGTCTCCCACTATTAATGTGTGGGGGTCTATGTGTGGTTTAAGATTTATTAAGGTTTATTTTACAAATGTTGGTACCCTTGCATTTGGGGCATAGATGTTCAGGATTGTG